TCTTAGGTTGAATAATCACCGTATCAAATATACATTGCTAGACGTAGTGGTTTCTCATACATATTTGATAGGGCAGTCATCAAGCCTGCTGTTGTCATCTCCTTTGCTATGTTGAAGGCAACGTTGCATGACATTGTCAATCGAATGACCCCCAGTGCTTGTCGATCAAGAAGAGCCCAATCATCATCCTTCATCTCTTCTAGTTTCTCTCCAGAAATAGGTTGATACAACTTCTTTTGATACAGATAATCCTCAATCTGCATATTCCAGAACCCAAAATCTGCATCATTGAACTTGTCGATCTTAATCTTTCCTTCTTTTGTACCCATTGCTCCCACTCGAACCTAATGGCTCTGATACTAGTTGCTGCGAAATCAAACAGAAAACGCAAGAAATAGATCAAACACACACACAATAAGAACACATAGATTTTACTTGGTTCACCCAAAATATAGGGCTACGTCTAAAGGTTGTAGGGATTTCATTATAATGATAAAAAAACAGTAGCGGATACAGAGAGTTCAGAATGAATAAATACCCTCGCACTAGGGCAACATAGCAAGTGCGGAAATAACCGAAATACCCTCCAAAAAAGTTGTTTCCGCGGAGTTAGGACTTGGTGTACAGTATCTATCAGGCTCCATACTACCCATCACTCATATTCCATGAATTAATTAGTATGGCATTAACATTAAAAGGAAAATTGTTTGTGGTCCATGGATTCATTACCTGAAATGGGACCAAATGGGTCTGCACCATTTACTGAAAGTAACAGCACATGAGTCCTTACAACAAATTGGCACAATACTGAGTCGATATATAAACTTTGATACTTGTACGATGCAAAGAAACATCATATATGAAATTGATGCTCGCTTATAAAAAAGATACGATCAAATCATCTTCACAATAACATTAAAATGAAAGAAAAGAATAATGTTAGAGGAAGGAGAATTTCAAAGTTGCAAAGCAAACTTTATTTTATGTAAAAATAATAATTTATTCACTAAACTGTAAACCCTAGTGATGAGCGCTGAAAAGTGTGCATTCAAACCCCTTAAGCTCAAGTATTCTAGAACCTTTATCTATCTTATTTTTCCGTTTTAGACTAAATTCATGTTATTACCCTTTTCAAGCGCTTATCCCTAAAATAAGCCAATTCAGCCAAATTAGAGCATAAAAGAAGCAATCTGAAGCTAAATGGAAGAAAGGAGCAAAGTGGAAGCAAAGTGGTGGAAAACAGCAAGTTTTGGTCGACCAGACCAAGCCCAGATCGATCTCACAGTGATCGATCCAGCCTTGCCAAGATGGATCAAACCCCTTGTCCTTATCCTCAAGAATTTCCATCTTCGAACGATCGAACTTACCTTTCGATCGATCAAACCTCTTTGATCTTATCCCCACCTACCACTTTTGTCTTTTTTTCCAAAATATCCCAAAAATATCTCAGATTTGTTTTATTCCAAAAAGGCGTCACCAAGGTTTGATCGATCTGGCCATACTTCGATTGATCTGGCTATAGTTTGATCGATCTCATCAGAATTCGATCGATTGAACCTCCTCAAGCTCGAAATAAAACAGAGTCCAGCTTATTAAAAGATGGCTCATGGTGCAATCATTGAAGGGGCCCTAGTGCACGAAACCTGACTATTGGGTGTGACACTTGAGCTACTTATATAAGGATTTTGCGCCATTTTTACAAAGAGGATGATATGATACAACAATAGAATAGAGGAGAGAGCCTAGAGATTAGAGAGATACACACATCATTTGGAAGTTCTTCCATTCATCTAGGGTGTCCATCAAGAAGAAGATCATTCCTACCATGGAGATGGCCCTTGAGGGTTGGATGACTACATCAATGAGTGGCTAAATATCTTCTTGGGGCTAGAGTTAACCCTAAGCATGCCGTCTAGATCTTAATGTTTTGTATTTTGAGGGGATTTGTGTTGTAATCTTGTCTTGACATTTGATTTATATATGAATCTTGTTTCTATAATGATTTATGTTGTTTAATACTTCTAACTAATCATTTCATTTTATTTATATGTTTATGTATGCTAGAATAGATGTTCATGTATTTATCTCTTGGTTTTGTGATATTGATGCATGTCTATATGTGTTGATGCTATGAATCTAGATTGTCAAGGCATAGTGCTTTAATGGAATACTCTTGTGGTTTGTTTGATGGTTCATACTCATTTCTTGATGGATTGTGCCCCTACTTTAGTTTAATTAGTTTAATTTTCATTTCCCTAGCTTAGTTATAGTGTAGTTGCCTTATTTTCCTAGATGAGAGGACAATCTATGCTAGTTGTTTGATGTTCCATGCTTATGAATGTAAGTAGTATAATTCCTTAGCTTGTTAATGTGTTTGATTGTGAGCTTAAAGGAAGGAATAATGGCTTAGTTTGATATATTGTACTATTCAATAGGTTGTCTAGACAATATATGTTTAATTAGTCATCCATGCTTGTTGATTCAATCAATCACACATATTAATATTGCAACATATATTTCCCCTCATTCATTACACATTGAGTATCTAGAAAGGTGATGTTTAGTGGTGACCTCTAAATCCCAAACCTCTCACTCTTGTTTTCTACCCTTTATTTACTTTAATTTCTTTGTATTGATTTTGTTTTACATTGTAGTTTAATTAACTAATCAAACCATCTTTTGATCACTCGACCTACTAATCCAACCTTATTTCCATTTCAAACACGCATCTGATCCCTTGGGACGATCCCTACTCACCCTAGTTATATTAGTAGTTAGAGGTAGTAGTGACACTTTATAAATTCAAACTTGGTCACTCTTTAACACGTTTTAACTTGTTGGTTCACGACGACACCACCTAACAACTACAATGCTTTATATATAGTTTTTTTCTCTCCAATCTTAGCCTTATATTACCTAATTACCAAATATAAAATAAAATCAAAATAGAAAAGCTGCTGAAAGAAAAAAGAAAATTTAAAAAAAAAAAAAAAAAACTACTAAAAAAGAAAAGCTAATGAAAATAAGAAAACTACTCAAAATAAGGAAACTTTCAAAATATGGAAGCTTTTTGGAAGACATAAATTCCACTTGCATAATTTGAAAATTTACTTGCATCAGTCTCTCCATGTTGGACAAAACTCACCCTCGAGTTTGGAGTAATTTTGCACAATCAATCAAAAATTCGAGCATGGCTTTCCATCCCTTCTTTCTTATTTTCTAAACTCGAATCAAATACGTTAATCTTCTTATACTAACAAAGAATACACTAGCATAATAAACATGGATTTTTCTAGAGGTCCTTTGAAATTGGATAGGTTTGCAAAACTCAGTGGAACATGTATCTTGAAGTACAAGTGTAATCAACTTTAATTTTTCTTCCAACAATTGCCTAACTGTCGTAGTACGCTCTAAGAATTCATCCCAAATTATGTGATAAAAGTGAAATTCATTATTTTTCATCCCCATGGATCCAGAAGTTTCATAATCAACCACGTTTCCTTCATTATGAGATTACTTTTGTAACTTCCTTATCATATATCGTTAATTCATCCCAATGCATAGATATATTTTTGACTCGTATGATTCAATGTGTGGTTCTTCATAAAAAATTGGAGGCTTACTCCAAACAATGAATAATTTTTTAGTAGCTTCCTCTTCTTCTTGTGGTTGTTCTTCTTCTACACTAAGATATCCTGCAAATTCAGGAATTTCCTCCTCAAAGTCGCCATAACAACCCTTTTCATCAAATAAAATAGGTGTTGTATTGCTGCAAAAAAAGGATTAACAAAATTCTCTTCAAGATTATCCTTATAAAAAAGCAGAAATCTGAAAATTGATATCTATCTGCTAACGACGACCAATCTGCTCGTCGAGTGATCAATAGTGACACGAAAAATAAAACAAATTTTTCGCAATAGTCTCGGTGTCTGACATATCCTTATTCACTAAAACATTGTCATCAACCGGCCGGTTGACAACGTGTTTACCCAATAGTTAAGTCAACGACTCAACTTGTCTCCATAAAAACTCTATCTCGCTTTTGTATTGCTTGGGTAAGGGTTTAGCTAGATTCTGCATCGTAAGATTTCCTCCTCTCAATAGTTATCATGAAGGCATGATTGAGCAGTTGGAAAGCAAAACCTAAGCTTTAATATCAAACTGACACCGTCTTACCAATAGGATACGATCAAATTGTCTTCACAACAATATTAAAACGAAATTAAAGAATAATGCTATAGAAAGGAGAATTGCAAAGTTACAAAGCAAACTTTATTTGTTGTAAAAATAATAATCTATTTAATAAACTGTAAACCCTACCAATTACAAGGATTTATATAGAGTTTTTTCCTCCCCAAACCTAGCCTTATAGTAGCTAACTACAAATATAAAATAAAATTAAAATAGGAAAACCGTTGAAAATCAGAAAACTGCTCAAAAAGGAAAGCCGATGAAAATCATAAAACTACACAAAATAAGGAAACTTACAAAATATGGAAGCTTTTTGGAAAACATAAATTCCACTTAAAGAATTTAAAATTCTGCCTGCATCAGTAATATACCTACTGCAATACTCTTTCTAGCTAGCAATATGCAACACATTGTTGCGGCTAACACGGAGAATATCGTCGAAAATTGTAAAATTTTGCCACCACCAGGTGAGGTGGCTGATCAGTTTCTTCCCCTCACTTTTTTCGACCTTCCCTGGCTAATACAGCTACCTACAGTCCAAAAGCATCTCTTCTATGAGTTCCATCACTCTAAGACCCATTTCACAGAGTTCCTTATTCCGCATCTCAAATGTACACTCTCCCTCACCCTCAAACACTTTTTCCCTCTCGCTGGTAATTTGACCCTCGTCAAATTCTAGCAAGCCCGAGATTCATTTTGCGAAGGGTGACTCAGTTTCATTAACCTTTGCTGAGTCTAGTGACAATTTCAATTACCTTACAAGAAATCAAGCATGAAATGCTGATCAATTTTATCCCCTCGTCCCTCATATGCTGAAGGTTGATACTCATGTGTCGGATTCAATAGCAATAGTCCCACTTGCAGTCATTCAGATCACGCTTTTTCCCAAGTCTGGGATTTGTTTCGGTTTCACCTACTACCATGTTCTAGCCGATGGTAATGCCTTTCACGGTTTCATGAAGTCATGGGCTTCCATTGCTAAATTTGGAAGTGACACTGAATTTTTACTTGGTGGGTACCTCCCTGAATATGATAAAGGATCCAATTGGGCTAGGTACAATATTTTGGAGCCATGGTTGTGAGTTTGAACATGGAATGTTATGTCACACTCCAAATAATGTTTGAGCCACATTTTTCATATCCTGAATTGATGTTCAAGGACTCAAGGAATTGGTTATAGACCGTCGAGGGACACAACATACATCGTCATTCATGGTTACATGTACCTACATATGGGTTTGCATTCTAAAAGACGAGGATAATGATGATGATGATGAATTGGTGCACTTTGTTTTCACAACAGATTGTCGAGAATGTTTGGATGCACCCATACCCGCAACTTACTTTGGTAATTGCATAGCATTTTGTTTTGAAAAAGCAAGATGTAGCCAACTAATGCAAGAAAAATACGGCTTTTTTATAGCAGTAGAGTCGATTGGAGAGGCGATTGCCACATGGGTTTAAAACGGTGAACCAGAGGGAGTGTTGAAAGGTTCAGAGACTTGGCTCTTAAGTTTTAAAAGGGACTAACTTTCATCTATCTGTCAATAAGGCAAACCTTAAGGGTGTGAGTGTAATTAACCATAAATATATATATATATATATATATATATATATATATATATATTTATATTTAATATTATTAATTTAATATTCTTACATACAACTTTTAAAATAAAAAATATATAAAAGATTGTTGACACACTGTGAATCAATTTTGTAATTCTTTCACAACCAATATACTCCCACCATCCCAATTTAAGTGTTGCTTTTGGGGAGTAGTAATTTTTAAAGGAACACGTGGAACATACATTATCTTCCTGAAAAGTTACTAAATTATCCTTTTAAGTTTTGAATATTCAAGTTTGAAATTTAAAACTTAAAGGACATATATGAAAAGATGTGAAATATATTGTTTGAAAAAGGAAAGTGGACAATTATTTTGGGACCAAAAAAAAGAAAAAAAAAAAAAAAAAAAAAAAAAAAAAAAAAAAAAAAGAAGAAGAAGAAGAAGAAGAAAGAAAGATAGCATGACACTTATTTTAAGAAGTTAGATTTCCAAGAGATATAATTTCAATGGGAGCGCGAGAGAATTTGTATAAGAGTTCTTATTCAACAATCATCAAAAACTAAAATCGGTCCATTACTTAAAATATAATATACTCTCTCTGTCCCACAAAAAATTATCCACTTTTTATTTTTAGTTGCCTCCAAATAATTGTCCCAATTCAAAATGGAAAATACTTGAGTCCTGTCCCATCATGACAGATTATGTCCTGCACACTAACGTGTCCCAATAAGAAGTTGACACTTTTTTTAAACTTTAAAAAATACAAAACATGGGTTATATCTATTTTTTATAGTTAAACCCGATAGATCTATTTTTTCCCTTACTCAACTTTGAATGTTATTTTTAATTAACTCATGGAAAATTGTATTTTCTACCTTTTTATGTTATTTTAAATTTTTTTAAGAGAAAAAACTATCCTTAAAAAAAATGAACTAATCATTTCTATTTCTTGTGAGATATATTTTTGTAATTGGCATATTTCGGTAACAAAACAAGTTAGTTGTAATTTCAGTTACCATATCAGAATCGACATCGACTGCAGAATTTGAAGGTTGTATAGAATAGGAAAGTACTATTGATCATCAAAAAGGAAAGAACAACATATTAGGACATCGTTTCCCACTTATGACATAATTACCTACATGGTATATGTTTAGAGTTACCAAAATACAGAAAATCCATATTCCGGTTGGATTATGTCAAGTGGGAACTGGAACCTAAATTTGGGAACCCGTTCCAGAAGTTAAGATTCAAAGAACTCCATTCTATCTTTTGGGAACTGGTACAATGATTGGGAATCGGTACCAAAAGTCCTGACAGCAACAGGTTTTCAGTTTCCTTGTTCTATTTGATTCCTTTTTGATCCAATTTTCCTTCCAAGTCCTATGCACGAAATTTCCTTTATTTTCAGAAGGAAGATGACTTTACAAACCTCTATATAAACCATGTCATACACATATGTTTATTCACGGCTTTTGCTCTACAAATTCATTATTCTTAAAAGCCTTAGGAAGATTATTTTAATTATTTTTGCAGAAAATTAGAGTTGATTTATTTGTCATCTTTCTAGAACACAAACACATAAACACATAGAGAGTTTAGAGTTGTGGTGTTCAAATCCTGATCTTGATCAGACAGTTGCATTTACATCGATCGGACGAAAGCAGATCTACTTCTACATTGAATTCAGACGATTGAAGAACAGAAGTAAAAGCGATCACACTTTGAAATGGTTGGATCATTTATGGAGTATTATCTAATCTACCTGCTACTCTTCTACAAATATCAAGCATAAGCCTAAGGTCAAGTTGTTGTTGGACGGGGTGACGCAAAGCCAGAGGATTGTCAACAGTTAGTGTTTGGTAGAACGATAGGGTGTGAGCCAGAGTCAAAGTTCAGTATACTTTGTTTCAAGCATAGTGGATCGGTTTACTTTGGACTGCACAGTCCACGAAGTTTTTCCCATACAAACAGTTGACGTATTTTATCAACTGGAGTTTCCTCGCTAAAAATCTTGGTATCATCTCTAACTTTATACTTTGCTTTATTTTATCTGTACGTGATTAATTGTTTAATTGCTAAAATAATTAAAGTTGGAAAAGACACAGATCTGTTTTAAAATTATCAAAACTTTCTAAATAATCCGCTACGTACGACTCACAATTTGGTATCAGAGCCAATCTCTACACATTGAGTTGATCCTTGTTGGAAAGTTTTGTTTTGATTTCAAAATTTGATTTTTAATCATGTCTTATGCGTTGAAAGAAGGAGGTTCTAATCAACGTGGTCTTTTGTTTGAAGAAGATAATTATAATTTTTGAAAATCAAAGATGAGATCTTATTTGCAAAATTCTGATAGTAAAACTTGGGCTATATTTGATCTGACTATTCACCACCTACAGAATATAAAACTGTAGATGGTAAAGAAGTCAAGGTCTTAAAAGATCCGTTTGCTTTTACTACTATTGAAACTGAGCGTAATGATGCTAATGACAAAGCTTTATATGCAATTATTAATTCTGTTGTTCCATCTGAATATTCTAGAATTTCTGATTATAAAACTGCTAAAGAAGCTTGGGATATTTTGTAGGTTACTCATGAAGGAACTTCAAAAGTGAAGTTATCCAAAATTCAGATGCTTTCTCATAACTTTGGAAATATCGTGATGAAAGAAGATGAATCATTTTCTGATTTTTATTCTACTCTTCTTTAATGTGACCTGAGCGTGTGCACAAAATAATACACAACACTTTGAGTTTAGAAATTAATGTCAAGTGGGCATCATACTTTAAATTTATAAACCGCTTAACACCTATACTATGTAGTATGAGTGAAAAGGGATCGTCCCAAGAGATTATACGCGTTGGAATTTTAGTTTCGACTTTAGTGTATAACAAGATTGCAAAGAGATTTGGGTTAGTGATTAAACTTTTTCAATTAATGAAAATGTAATTAAAATAAGACTAAAGTTGAGATAGGGATTTAAGAGATGAGAAGTGAGGTGTTGGGGTGCATTGGAATCGCCACCAAGTTCATTCACTAAACCACACATTTTCAACTAATTGGAGAAAACCTTCTTGTGAACAAAATGCGACTACCAATTGCAATATTAAGAATGAACCATCAAATTCAAGTATGAATTGTCTACTTAACCAATAATTAAACTAAGTGTAGAACAACCCATCAATCCTAAGCATGACCCATCAAACTAGTAACAATTATAGCACACATCAATCTAGAGAATCATGAAATTTGCAATAATAAGCCATGGAATATCAAATCAAGTATAGATTGTCTACCTAACTACAAGTATGAATTAAATTATAGAACAACTCATCAAATATAAACATAACCCATCAAATTAATTGACAAACCCATTCAATGAAAATCATGCATAGCCATCACTAAATCCTTAATTCATCACATATAGATATGCAACAAATATAGAGTAAATAATGTAGAGATTAATTCCCTAATAATCACACATAAGACAACATGTGATTGCATAGAGAATTAGATGGAAATATATAACCATAGAAATCAAAGGAGAATCCAAGATTCATTAAATTCACAAGGCTAAAACACTAATCACAAGATATTATTCCCTAAAAAGTATGAAAAGAAGGGTTTAGGTTTATAAACTTGGAGCTTATCCAAGCCCCAAAGAGAAGTCTAGCCAATCATAGAGGAGGTGGGTGTGATCTTGGAACCCTCAAGGGCAATCTCCAAACATGGCTCCATCTTTTTCCTTTTTTTTTTGCTGAATTCTAGAGAGAAAGAATGTGTAGATCTTAAGATGTGTTCTTGATGCCTCCAATCTTCTCTTTTCTTCTATCCCTAATCTCTCTCTTTTCTAGAGAGAGGAACTAACTATTACAATGTAAAAAAATAAAATTCAAGACCAAAGATATATTACAAATTCAGTTCCTTTTAAATACAAGGTCCTTAGAGTAGTGAACAAGTCAAAAAATAAGCCTTCAAAATATCTAATTCCGCAGCTATGTGATAGGTGGAGTTTGGGTGCGTGGGAATAAAACAGCTCGCTGCTAGCATATCTTTGATCGATCCAAGAATATCTTCAATTGATCGAAGAATCGATCCAAACCCACTGGTGGTGAAATTCTTCATTTTTGACCTTTTTCCAAATTTTTCTGGAATCTTCTTGGAACTTTTGCTTGACTCCAAAAAGGTTGTAATGGACCATTTTTAGCCCGTTTAAACCTTATCGACCTAACAATAGACAAAAACATAAATTAGAACTAAAACATGAAAGTAAGATAGAAGAATAGACTAAAATACCTTAGCTTATGTGCTAAAATACATCACATTTAGATATTGCTAGTCCCTAGTAATGAACTATAAAGAAAATAAACAACAAACAACTACACAACTATGAACTAGAAAGTAATGAAAGGATAACGCCACTTTCGTAGGGAACACGATTGCATTTAGCATATGTAACAAGCCTTTTAAACCCCTAGGTTACCCTAGTGAACGAGTGAAGTCTTGTGAAGGTTTCTAGAAATGATACCCACAAACATTAAGTTATTTCTCACTAAAGAGGCACCAACATACAAAATAAGCATTGGGAGAAAACTACTTCAAGTATGCAATTTTTCAACCATTTTGAAGCAACTCTCTAAAATTTCAACACCAAACAAACAAGTATGGTCCTCCACACATCAAAACAATGATCATGCAAATCAAAACAACTCTAGAATCTTTTTTAAGTGAACCAGCACCAAATATGTTGCTATCTAAGCCAACTAAAGAAATGATCACATCCAGCCTCAAACTAGCACACAAATCTAGTACCGATCATCAAGACAAAGAATGGACCTTTTATTAAAGCTTTATTTATCTAGGTGTACTTATTTTTTTCACTCGACTTTTT